AGCCAGGACAACATAGTAAGTTCAAGACTCGCTTGAACTACGTAATGAGACCTTGTCTAAAATTAATTAATTTTTTTTAAATTTTATTTATTTGTGGGGGGGGCAACTCAGCCCACCAGGGGGCGGGGCTGGCTGGCATGTGGTGCTGGGGGATTGAACCATGGTCCCTTTGTTTTGGCTAAACTTGTTCTAAGTAGGTGCTTTAGACCACTGAGCCATCTCACCAGCCCCTAATTAATTAATTAATAAAAGGTAGTTTAGCACTTTCTGGGTTTAATCCCCAATACAAGGGGGGAGGGGCTCCAACCAAGTAAAACAGTATTAGTAATAGGAACTGCTAATAAGATCTGTAAAAGAACTGTGAAAAGAAATGTAGACAGCTTTTTTCCTGGGAAAGACATGCACACACACACACTCGCACACATTAGGCTATTATAAGAGCTAGTTTCCAATTCCTTGAGGATTGTCATACACAAAACAGAGACCCAGGAAAAAGTAACAAGGATGGTAGCACATACCTGTAATCTGAGCACACTGGGATGCTGAGGCAGGAGGACTGAAAGTTCAAGCCCATCCTGGGCAACTTAACAATTTAAGGAGTCTCTGGCTCAAATAATAAATAAATAAAAATAAATGGCTGAGAATGTAGCTGGGTGGGAAGGTCCTGGGTTCAATATCCAGTAACACAATAAACACACAAACAAAAGAGGGAGAATTGATTCAAATATTGATTTCCAATAAAAAGTTTTATCAGTACAAAAGATTAGAAATGAGTATTTAGTTAAACTGTTTAGTAGTGAGAGCCCCAGGTTTGAAAATGTTCCAGAAAGAACTTCTTGCAGGGGGTGTAAATTTGGACAGCTCTCTCCACCTCCTTTTAGCTGTATAATTGCTGAATTTGATAAATCAGGCAAGAGGCTGAGTTAACCTACATGTTACGCAAAAACAACTTTTTTTTTTTTTTGTCTTTTTGAGACAGGGTCTTGCTATGCAGTTCAGGCTAGCCTTGAGCTCACTTTGTAGCCCAGGCTGCTCTCAAACTTGCAATGATGCTCCTGCCTCAGCCTCCTGAGTGCTGGGTTTGCAGGGGTGCGCCCCCACACACAGCAAGCAGAAACGTCTTAACCCCAAATGGCACAACAGGGCACTTGTGCTCAGAGGAGGCTCTCTCATGGAGGAATTAGGCAATAAGTGAACAACTCAGTAGGTCAGCATCTTTAGCTGACCCTTGTCCGTTAGGCTGCTTTCCCCCACAGAATCAGTCAGAACTTGTGATTGCAAAGGATAAATTTTTTTTTTTTTTTTAAAAAGGAACTTAATGGCTTATATAACTGATAAGCTCAAAAGGCAGATTTAGCTTGGGATGATTAGATCCAAAGTTAAAAAGAAGTCATTAAGACTTGGTCTTCCTCCATGTCCTTCTTTGTAGCCAAGCCAGTTTATAATTTAAACTCTTTGACCATACTGGGCATGGTGGTGCACACCTACAATCCCAGCACTTTTGAGGCTGCATCAGGAGGATCACTTCAAATTCAATGCCAGCCTGGTCTATGTAGCAAGATCCTCTCTCAAAAAACAAGAGAGGGGGACTGCCCATTAGCTCAGTTGTTTAAGTGCCTGCTTAAACAAAGCACTCACGCTCAAGATGCTGTGGTTTGAACCCAGATACTCATGCCAAACCAGAAATGCCCTCAAGGCATCTTCAGGCCGCGCAAAAACAACAAAAAAAAAAAAAAAAAAAGAGAGAGAGAGAGAGAGAGGCTGGAGAGATAGCTCGGTGGTCTAAGTGCCTGCCTGGCAAGTGCAAGGACCCAGGTTTGGTCCCCGGAACTGCAGGCCTGGTAGCCCTGCACTGAGCCGGCCCCAGAAACTGAGCGAGGTGGTGTACACCTGTAATCCCAGTACTGGGGAGGCTGAGACAGGAGGATCATTATGAGTCTGAGTGGCATGGCGAGACACTATACCAAATAAATAAATAAATAAGAAAATTCATTTTGATCAACTGCAGAGTAAAGCCAAAGGGTTTTGGCTGGCTGGCCCCTCTCTCCCTGCAGGCATGTGGTGCACACCTGTAATTCTAGCACTTGAGACACTGGGGCAGGACGATTGCCAAGATGTTGAGGCCAGTGTGGGCTACATAGTCAACTCAAAGCAAGCCTAGCAATCTGTCTGAAAACTAAACAAATAAACAAAAAAACTTCCTGTTCTTGAATCTTTGTTCCGAAAACCCTTACTCTTCTGATTACTAAGACTTGGGGTGGGGGTGGGGAAATAAAAGTCTTAGTGGCTTCCCTTTGACGTCTGCTCCCTGGGACTTTGCCTGGGACAGGGCACTTAGGACTGGAACGATGGACCTCTGAGACAAAGGAGTTCACAAAGGAAAGAACTTGGCGCTGTGGAGAAGTAGGGAAATGTCTGGGAGTTCGTAGGATGAAAGGAGGTAACCAGCTGGAAAGCTTATGCTCCTGGACTCAACAGTCAGGAAGCTGTCATAGTCCTAGTGTTCAGTGATGAAGACCTGGGCCAGACCAACAACCTTGATAAAAGAAGAAAAGCAAAACTGAAGGTGTATAGGAGTCAAGGAAGGCAAAAGTTCCAGGTTTCAGAACTGGAAGGAAAAGTTCAAATCACACCTTGCCACAGCCACACATGAAAAATAAAATCGCGGCCGGGCGTGGTGGCACACACCTGTAATCCTAGCACTCAGGAGGCTGAGGCAGGAAGATCATTGTGAGTTCAAGACCAGCCTGGGCTAAAAAGTGCACTCAGAGCCAAACTGAACTGCAGCTTGAGACCCTGTCTCAAAAAAGACAAAAGAAAGAAAAAGAAAATCGCTTTACAGAAACTCAATTTTTCAGTCTTTTACCTTTGTGAGACAATCTTGTGGCCCAAACCAACACAAGTCGGGCCTGGGCTTAGCATAGTAGTCCTGGGCTGGGCGTGGCAGCAGCCCCAAACCTGCAGGACTACACCTCCCAGAATGCCACGGGCCAGGGCAGCTTGACGCAGCCGCAGAGCTGGTGAAGACGCCAAGTCTCTCCAGGAGGAGGTGCTGGTTGAGTACCTCGGTTCTGGGCCCATGTTTATGGCCTAAATTGTTAAGAGTTCAACCTTTAGCCCTTATTCCGGCTAGTCCCAGAAGTTCGTGGGATCCAGAGTCAAGCTCTTCTCCTAATGCAAATACCTGAGGCCTCTTCAGAAGCACAGCAACCCTGAGAACCCCACATCCATCTGCCCGTGGCTCCCCGCATCCGGTGTCGGCCCCCAAGCCACCCTCCCACACGGCCCCAGCTTCCTGCCTCTCATCGAGACCTGGGTGTTCCTGGGGAGGCCCAGGTTGGGGTCCGCAGAGGCCCAAGGATCCCAAGGGCATTTGGCTCTTTCTGGACAGGGGCTCCGCTTGTAATTGAGACCACTAGCCCGAAGCAAGCACAGGGTTCCCTGCCCTGTGGTTTTCTTTGGGACTGTACGTGGAAAGAAGAGAAGCTTGGAAGTGAAAAACCTCAGCTTCCCCTTTCTTCTGCCGCACGAACCTCAGAAGTTTGTCGAGCTGGACCTGCTCTACAGAGGCCACAGGTGGAGGAGGCCTAGAGCTCAGGCCCAAAATCAAGTATTTTTTTTTCCTGTTCTCCACAGAAAGTTGGAGCTGAGAGGAGGCTTGCCCTTCTAGAGCTTTTGCCAGAGTGAGGGATTGATCATAAATGGGCTTCAGGAAAGGTATGGGCAGACTAGGACCAGAAGAGAGATTGAGGGGCTAGACAGAAGGCAAGTGTATTGTTGCCCGGGTGCCTGGGCTGACAGACTGAAGCTTCAAGTCATTTCACCAATGAGCTTCAGAGCCTTCCATCACACCTGCCTGATCCATGTTATCTTATTCTATTACCTTCTAGCATCACTGCATACTTACTGTCTTTTAAATGCTTAAAAATAGACACTATTACTATTCTCCCTATCTTACAGATTCATAAACTGAGGGCTTACGTCAACAACACCCAGCTAGGCCGGGGAAATAGCTCAGTAGAATGAGCGCTTGCCTGGCAAGCACAGGGTCCTGAGTTCAATCCCCGGTACTGCAAAAATAAATAAATAAATAAATAAATAAATAACACCCAGCTATACTGAACATGGTGCACACCTGTAATCCCACCACTTGGGAGACTAAGGCAGCAGGATCATCCAGAGTTTAAGGTCATCCTGAGACCCTGTCTCAACAAAACAGAACAGGCATAATAATAATAATAATAATATAATAATAATAATAATAATACTAATAATAGCTGTTTCTAGCTGTTTGGTAAGTGGCAGAGGTAGATTCTGAACTCAGGACCTGGCTCCCAAGGCTACAGTTTTCATCTTGATGCCAACCTGTCTGGTACATAGAGCAGGAGGTTGAGGCTAAGAATAGAGCAAGTGATGAGTGGACTGTGCAGGGATTAAATGAAAGTGGTGACAGCAAATCTGTTAGGGTCATAGGTGTCTTCACTGGCCAGTTGAGAGAGACAAGTGGAGAGGAAGCAGATTGTTGGCAGAGTGATGAAGTGAAGAGAAAGCTGGCAGAGAGGAGACAGGGCTACTGATGCCCAAGCAGGTAGATGTGGGATTCATGGGGGACAGGAGAGGATTGATGGGGGAATTAGGAGGGGTGGGCCCACGAGTCTGTGATGGTGGCATAGTCCCAAAGGTCGAAGGGAAAGCAGTTTGGAGGCTGGTGAGTTTGCAGACTCCATGGGCTGTAGGGTACCTCTCAGTGCAACCCCTGAGGATGTTCTTGCAGCAACAAGAGCAGTCAAAGAGCTGGACTCCACCTCTCCCCTCATACCACCCCCTCTTCAGCCCCTCTTGGCCTCTCTTCCCTACCTAAGCATCCCAGAAGTGCTCTGTGCAGATAGCAAAGCTCACACCACCTCCCTGTTGTAGGTCTACCTTCCAGTTGTAGGCCTACAGTCTTCCAAATAAAAATCTAAACCCATTTTGAAAAGTTTTATTTGAAAAGTAGGGGACATGACAGAGCGAGCAGCATGGAGACTGTATTTTCCTGCCAGGGTCCTCAAGTCAGAAGCCTGGCTTGGGCTGCTCAGGTCTACAGGTCCTGAGGACCCCTCCAGTCTGTGGGCTCCTAAGGATGATACCCACACCCGCCCACATCCTCTTGGGCTCTTACCCCTCCCCTCTGGCTGCCCACTTCCGGTGCCTGAGCCTACACCTAGGTGGTGGTAAACTCTGAGGGAGGGGGTGGGGAAGAGGAGGGAGGAGGAAGTGAGTCCATGGGAGTTTGGGGCTGAGAGGAATAGGTAAAAAAGAAAAGTGGGGCTGGAGCCACTACCTTGCTGTTCCATCCTCTGGAAGCCAGGGGCCTTCGGTAGTGTACCCAGAGATGTTTCCCTCTCAGTTTGGATAGCAAGGTCTGTGTAAGGCATCACCTCTGACTGGCAATGGCTTGCTGCCCTTGGGGAAATAGGCATATCCCCAGCAGAGCACCAGGAGCCTTGGTAATGGAGGCAGGCTTGGAATACCCCCACTGCCAGGCTCTCCTCAGCTGGGCACTGGCTGGCTGTTGGCATAAGCCTGATCCGGGAAGGAAGCCCGGGCTCTGCGGGTCTGGGCGCACACTGAGGCATAGAGCTCCGGCTCCGTGTCCACAGCCTGGGGCTTTGGTTCAGAGTCCACCACCACCTCTGAGTACTTGATGGGAGTCCCAGGGCTGGGGACCCGGCCCTGAGGAGGCGGCAGCTGCAGGCTGGTATAGCACATCACCTCCTCTGCATCCTGGAGATGAAAGGTGTTAAAAGTTCACTGGACCCTCCGAAAAGTCCCTTTCTTCCCCTTTTCTTTAGCCACAGCCAACTCACCCTGGCAGAGTTTCCAGGGGATGGATCCTGTTGGCCCAGCCTTGGCTCTTGTGACAGCCGTCCTGGAACAGGATGGGAAATCAGTCAGCTTCTTGTTCCTCCTCCCACCCCTCATGTCCCCCTCCCACCCCTCAGGACCTAGCCCCTGGGCCCTCCCTTTGATGGCACCCTACCTGTCTGTAGATAGTGCAGGTTCCCATACAGGGGGACCTCTTCCACACCCCCTCCAGAGCTGCAATGCAGAGTTTGGGGGATGAGTATGGACTTCTCGAGAAGAGGGAACCCTCAGTCAACCTATCCCTATTTGCCCCTGCTCACCGTCCAAGCTCTGGCTGGCCCCTGCTCTGGGCACTGGTCCATAGGAGCAAGAGTGTAGCCAGTGAGATGAGAAGCAGGAATGTCACAACACCGAAGAGGGCCCACAGTCCCCAGGCCTGGGATATGGAGGGGAACGCTGTGGGTATGAGAAAACGGGAGGTATTACTACCCAGCCCAACCCCCACCCCGTGCAGCAGGTACAATGTGGAGCCCCATGACGCCTCCCCCAAAAGACCCTGCCCCGCCCAGCTCACCCAGCACTGGTGGATCCGTGCAGTTGTCACCTTTGCTCATGACTGCTGATGTGAAAACCCCGATCCATAAGCACACTGCGCGGAGCAGAGTCAGCCCGTTTACGGCCTGACAGCTGTCACAGCCCCTGTACAACCATCCCTCTCTGGGCCAGGCTCTCACAGCTCAGCATCCCCAATACTGGTGGTGGCAAAGTTGCCGGTTTCCGGGGAGGAAGGGGGAGGGGAGGGATGAGCAAAGAACGAAGATTCTGCGTCTGCACCTGCACCTGCACCGCCCTGTGCACCCCACCCCCATGCCCTTTCACCCCAGGAGAGATGCAGGCCTGAGCATCCTGTGCCAAGTGCATGTGGGCCCAGGAAGAATCCAAGGGACAGAAGTAGCGTGAGGAGGGACCAACAAGGGCAGGAGCATTCCTGTGCCAAGAGATGTCCCTTTTTCATTCCTGCTGTGAGTCTCAAGGAGGAGCATGGATTCCGCAGAGAGAATGCTCCCATGGGGAAGGGTCTTGGGACCCACAGTGCAACCACCGCTAAAGGCTGACCCCAGGAAAGATGTTCAAAGGACCACTGTCTTGGTTACCAATTTTGCACTCTGGTGGATAGAGGAAGCTAGAGTCCTCTCTCACACCCCATTTCACCCAGACTGTCCCTGAAAAGAGTGGCTCTGCGTTATCTGCATTAAAGAACCTAACCTGCACTGCCCTGCAGTGCCTGCTGTCAGGGCAGCAGTCCAGGGCACTGCCCACCATCCCAATCTTCGGGGAGGTTACTGATATGGGAAAAGGGAATTTTAATTCTGGCTATAAATGGAAGTATAAATTTAAATTACAGTGACCTGCCAGAGATAGGGACGACAGAAGCCCACCCCTTCGGTTCCAGACAATAAGGAAGTAGGCTGTAGAGACTTTAAAAAAATAAAATAAAATAAAATTCATTCTCTTTTCCTACCTCTCCCCCTTATTCCTCCTCCCCACTGAAGATTTAACGCACAGCCTCACACATGCTAGGGCAGCACCTTGCCACTGAGGTACATCCCCCAACCCTACCTTTTTTTTTTTTTTTTTTTTTTTTTT